AGAACAAAATTAATGACGTTAAAATAATTAATGTACTTCAATCTAAACTTTTGGCAAGAGGAATCTTTTGTCAAAATTTTTCTACATTTTCAAATTATCACTTTAAAGTAGAAAACAATGGAAACTGTATTATTATGAATCTCTTTGGATGAAAGAAATATGTGACTTGTGATGAGTTAATTGCACGGCAGAAATATATATCTGGAATAATATTCATTATTCCAGAAAATATTTAATAATTTAAATCCTATGTTTATCTTCTTAAGACTCCTGCTGATTTATCATAGCCATCTTGAATCGTAACGTACGTCTAATCAAAAATGAAAGCGTAACTGAATTCCAAGTAATTATTTATTGATTTACTGAAGATAAAAAAGAATTCTCGATATGTTTTATAAATATCGATAACACATGTTATTTTGTTGAAAAAAATTTCCAATTCAATATATTTTGTACGAATTTCCGTTTTCTCCGTATTCTGGTATCATCAATCCGGATAGTAGCAGCGAGCCAGCAGAGGTCTTAACAAAAATTAAAGTACAGATTTCCTCGGCATTACACTCTCCGTTAAATATATAGCGGGTAAAACGCGCACGATGGCACAGTACATCGATAAGAATAATGCTTCGTCCTGAGGAACGTTCCTTCCATTACCTCCCTTCTATTTCTTTTTATTTCGAGAAACAATCCTGGCGCAAGAGCCCTTCGACTTCGCATTTTTCAATTATCGATCCACGTCCCACGGACGCAGCACGTACGTTCCCGCTGCGAGATTCTCCCGTCGGTATTTCTTCCGGCGAGTACGTACGTACACACTCCCAGGTGTCCGTATAGGACAGACGTGATTTAAGAAAGGGAGACGAGCGAGAAGGTTCGATAGGCCAGCGCGACTCGAGTACGCGCGTCTCTTCGGATACTGCACGCGCGAGCCAACGAGAGTGGCAACGCCATACGGCGCCGTGGACGTAGGGATACCGAGGTCATTAGCAATACCCGCGGTTCGTTCACCCGAGACCTTGGAGAATCCAGGCGTGCATACACCTTCAAAGGCGATAGGCGCATCGGACAATTTATGTAGGCGTGGATATTGCCATCGAATCAAGAGGCAAACTTGTCGACAAGTTCGAGAGAATTGCAACTTTGTATAATTTGCTAACGTGAATCTCGATTATCGAGGAGATATAAAAAGCATAATAGTAATAATAATAATGATCATGATGATGATGATGATGATGATGATAATAATAATAATAATAATAATAATATATAAAGGTTATAAAAAAAGATGTAGAGACGATGGAATCATTTGGATCCAAGGAGTGAGGATTTGTGGGATGACTCGAATGCCACCTCACTTTTTTATGGGTAAATTAATACATAGAGAAAAATATGCGTGAAAATTTATTGAAGAATTTATATTATGTCGAGTATATCCAATACAAAATATCTTTTTTTTTGCAATATTAACAAACACGATCGACCGGCCTCTTTCCCAGGCCAAAGACTGCCAGTTTCGATCCGTTTGTCGAGTCACGCAAACGACATGGCGCATCGTGCGAACGCTCCCGAACTTGAAACAATTTTTAGAATGATCTACGAGGACCATGTCGCCACGGATATAATCAAGAATGATGACAATTTCGAATGATAGCAATTTTGAGAATGATCTACGAGGACCATGTCGCCACGGATATAATCAAGAATGATGACAATTTCGAATGATAGCAATTTTCCGAGCAAAAACTGATGTAAAAGATAGATCCCTGTAACCCTAATGAACTACAACGAAGATCGACAATTCTTTTTCAATTCATTTCGAATTTCTATTTTTCCATACAAAATAACTGAATTCCTTTTTAATAAAACATTTTTAAACGTAGCAAATTTTACTTTAATTACATAGTACTCCGAGTGAAAAAATTTTTAAATGTTGTTTTGAAAATTCACGCGTGCTCTTTAGAGTTACCACTTGACAATTCATCCGGTAATGATTATACATGTTGAATGCTATGCCCATAACTAGAAACGGTCTTCTCGGCTAGTTGATGAGGATAAGAGTAATCCGAGTAATAGAACGGCGCCGCATATGCTATTTGGCGAGTGGCGAACGTGGGTACCGCAACGTGCGACTCGATGGCAGTCAGCGGTTTCGCCACCGCGACCAGGGGACGCGCGTCATGGATCACTTGGTGTCCGTGGGCCTCGATCGTCTTCTCCGCGACCAGGGAGGTCTTCGCCACCGGCTGCACGATCTCGGCGACCGGATGCTGCAGCAGCGCGACGTCCGCGTATCTCAGCAGCGCCGGCGAAGCCGCGGCCACCAGGCTCGCCGACGGGTGCACCACGTTGCTGCCGTGCGCCTCGACGACCTTCTCGGAAACGAGCTTACCGACAACGGGCGTGAGAACGGTTCCACATTGCACCGTGGCGATGCTCGCCAGGACGGAAATAACCACCTGCGAAAGAGAATGTTTGCCGCGGATATGAAATCTCCGGGTGATCGCGAGAAGAGAATAGAGCGCCGGCGGCGTCAATATTTTCCCATCGTCTTTACATTCCCGACGAATCGAAAAATTGGATGTTCTATTGTCAAAGATAATGTGTGCTCGGAATAAGATTGCGCCAGTCCGACGATGGATTTGATTTAACCCGTTAATCTCGCGAAATGTGTAGAGGTACTTAATTAATTTGAATCTCGACGATTGCCAACGCCAAAAACGTACTCAGATGAAATATAGATTCTCGTTGCTCGATAGTGGTAATTTAAGTTAAAAAAACATTGATCTTACCAGTCTAAACATGACGATAGGTTTTCACTTACTTTTGCAGATCAGAACCTGAGACTGATCTGTACGCACGCGGATCTACGCATGCTTATATAGGAGAGCGCTTCCGTGATCTGCGAGAGACCTTCAAGGTCCGTGCAATAAGAATCCAACGCCCTGCCACTCTATAGGATGTGTCGAGAAATGCACCGAAGGCACGTTCTTATCTGAAAATATGTACGTGTGTAAAATATTTCCCAGTAAACGTATTTCTTGTCCGCGTAAAATATTTGAAATGATTGAGAGGGCTCGAGAAAGAGAGAGAAAGATAGTAATTCTAAAAATTTATGAAAAAATACAGTTACAGTTTAATTGTTTTCTTGACAATAAATAGGAATTATAAATATAATTAAAAATTAAATATATATAATATAAATATTCAGAGAAAAATAAATAAGCTTTTAAATTAAAGCGGGGACATTAGTAGTCATGAGATCAAAATTGTGAAACAGATTAGGTGTTGTACGAAAATCAAGATAGATGAGGGATATAGAGATTACGTTTTTGTCGTCTGTTGGATCTGGAAGCGTTAAGCTTTTTGTTGTCGCCATGAGCTTGTGGGGTACACTTGACGATCGAACAAAGGGGCTCCACGATCTTGAGACTTTACTTTTACTCCTCGCCTCTTGGTAACAATAAGCACATTACGCCATAGAAGCAAGAAGAAGTGGTACTCCTCGGAGGGACGCAACAAAAAGCATTCGAGCGTAAAATTACAGCCGAAAACGTGCTTAATCTTAATGATCTCATTTATCAATTTCTATTGAATGTATGGCACTAAGAACGGCGATTTCAACAAAAGACAATGTCGCCGTTAAAAAATAAAAGCAGTTAAAGTAAGATTAATCAGTCATTCTTGAGTCATCGCTGAATTGTTTAGAAGGAATAATTAACAATGCAAAATCAATCTTTGTGAAAAATAATTTTTTAATATTTTTAAATACCCTCTCCCTCTCAATCGAGACTGAGTCTATTTATAAAGATTTCATTTTCAATACAAAATTATATTTTAGCATAACCATTGTCGAACACATAAAATGTCTGAATTTTTTGCGACTTCGATACATTCGATACATTGAATCAATTATATTGTATGTAGAGACACGGGTACGAATGTTGTCTACAACTTTCGCGAAACCGTAGGTGCGATATTGAATAATTCGCCAAACTCTCCTTCCCTTCGCACGGGGACTTTTTTAAAGCTCCGGTAAAGAATTTAGCGAGTTAGATTCGTGAAAAGTGCATGGACGGGTTTGTATGTTTCCTGTAAATATATTCAATACGTGACCCGTGACGGTGCGCGGCAAAGTTTCGCTTCGCGAGTGCCGAGAGATCGCGTACGGGGACCAAAGCCGAAACTCAAACAACCGTTGATCGCCAAGTCGGTAAACAGTTTTCATCGAGTCGTTCCAAATCCTATTTTGCGAAAAGCCTCACGTAAACGGATGATAGGAGCGTTACGTAGGCGGACGTACGTCCATGCGGGCGTGGCTCTGTCAAAATAAAGAAAAAAATTATAAGAACGGGAGATCGCTCCGTGACCTCACAAACGCTCCGTTGTTTGCCGGTCGTCCGTGCGAGGAAGGAAGCTCGAGTTCTCCGGGATCGCGTGCGGGGAAAAATCTGCGATCCTCGGATAAGCTCGGACGGTACGTGATACGGAGGAATTAGACACTGGCGTTGCGAGAACTCAACGAGGTAGAATTCGATAACAGCCCGGTTCGACAATAACATGTAACGTGACGTTATACTGTTCGGCGAAACTAAGATCCTAAGATTCTAACACGTACAAGGAGTACCCAGGCGGACCCAGAGATTATAGGTAACGTCTGGAATATAAAGATAAGTTACGAGATTTTTTTATCCTCTAAGGAATTAATAAGGACTGAAGAGAGAGAGAGAGAGAGAGAAACAGAGCGCATTTATATATAAAGGCAGAAATGGCAACTTTATTGATTAATCGAAGCGATCGATCGTTCGACCGTGTAGGTCGGCTGGTACAAGTTTAGTCGAAGTTTTCGGCATCCAGGTTGGTCGATGGTCCGGTCGTTCCGATAAATCGTCACGCATCCGGGGTGTAGGACGAAGGACATCTTCCTTGTGTTGTTGGTCGTTTCGAGAGATGAAGAGTGGATGGTGGCTAGTGAACGATTTTCCCTTAGTGAAGAGCGACGACGGGAGCGTGAGCGGCATAGGCGACCGGTGCGGCATGGGCGACGACGGCGTGAGCGGGAGCGACGACCGGGGCGGCGGCGACGACCGGGGCGGTCTTCAGGATCGGTGCGGTGTAGGCGATCGGGGCGGTGGCCACGAGCGGGCTCTTCACGGACACCTTGTAGGTGTTGGCGTAGCTGGTGGCGACCGGGACGGTGTGGGCAACCGCGACCGCTGGCGCCGCCGCGACGACCGGCGCCGCCAGGTAGCCGGGCGCGGGTGTCGCCGTGACGCAGGCCAGCAGAGCGAAGAGAATGACGAGCTTGCACATGGTTGGCTGGATTTGCTGCTTCGTACTTCGGCGGAGCGTGCTGAAGAGCGAGTGATGCTCGGACACGGCGTCTAGGACCCCTTATATCCCCCAGTGTTGACCTCTCCCACCTCTCGCGAGCTCCGACGGCACACCCGGTCCCACAGGTCCCGGCCACAGGTTCCTGTTGCCTCCCTCGCGTCGCTCGTACCGTCGCAATTACTCGTTTCTTTTTTTTTCTTTTCTTTCTTTTTTGTTATGTTGGCCACTTGTTGGAGGAGCACTGCCAAGGACTGCCGTTCGTGGCCTCTGCGCAACGCCGGGCCCTTCACCGCGTCATATTTCGTCGGTACCCTCCGCGTGACGTAGCCTCGACGGAGACGCAATTCGTCGATCATCGTTTTATCCGTTCGCAGAAGGACGCGGGAGATGCTCGAAAGGGCGGCCGTGGAAATTCTTGGCGGCCTTATCTCCCGGCACTCTTTGTTTGCTCATACACGATGCCCGGTTAGAAAGGTTCAATAACATAGCCTCGATCATCAAATTCTCGATTCCCGGAACAGTTCTGTATAATTATCGAGCGATCTATTGCGTGTGCATATATTAGCTTTTGGAGACCGATTGGCGGATCTAAAATACGAGCTCGTATTGCCTCGAGCAAAAAATGACGTTTAGAATCGCTTGTCACTTCCTCAATTAATTTTTGACGCACGTGACATTGATAATCGCTTAATTGATGACGTCGGTTAGAGAAAACACACGAACGATCGTGCACGAACGCGTGAACGAAATTTGCTTTTTCCTCACTGTGATTTATCACATCCGCGATGCATCTCTCGTTAACAATATTTAAACAATTAAAATACGTGTCAGCGAACGTGTTATGCCGAGGATCTCAGTTAAAATCGTTAAATGTTCGGGCAAAGGACGCTTCTACGTTGTTTGCCATGACTTTGGTCGTTTAGAAGGCAACGCTTCTCTTCCTCTTTGTACTTTACCCCATTTTAATGCTTATGAATTGCAACGATTTACGAGCTGGGTCGCCTTGCTCGCGGGTTTCTCTCTCTCTCGGCGGTTGAGCGGTTTTGTTTCACGAAACACGCGTACGTTGTCTTAACAAACTTAATCGTTAACACGACACTTGTGTACACAATTCCCCTTTTTTAAGGCGTTTTGAAAGTCATTTACTTGTAAAATTTTTAGAGATTTTTCTATTTATAATTTTTGTTCTCGATTAGATAATTAAAAAAAGTTCTTTTTATTAACTTTTAAGCAATGTAAATATATCTTTACATTAAACTTATATAGATTAATCGTTTTCTTATAAAATATTCTCTTTAGAGTTTTTTTTAGAGAAAAGAACATTTATTTGTTTAATTTTTGGAATCTTTTTTATTTTCTTTATTTTCTATTTTATTTTATTTATTTTTCTATTTTAATTTGTGCTCGTAATTCAATAAACGATTGACTTAATTACCGATTAATGTAGAGGTCGGACGGCGGTTACGCCCACGTACATTGCGATGTCTAAAACCGATGGATGTCGGCAAACCAGAATCGGAGGTGCAGACCCAGATGGAAGGGGGGGGGAGAAGCATTGTGACACACAAGTCGCGCGAAAGTAGATGCTCGACTTACACAATTTCGCACGACGCACTTTGCATACGACAGTATAACGACAGGCACGTATACGTGTGTTTGTCACATGTCACGCCGTGCGTTCCCTCTCTTACGCAATCACACATCGGCAATGACAATGCGTGACAGCTCGCACTGACGAAAATCGCAGCAACTCCGGTGCGACCCCCGTGACAACCGGTTAGACGTAACGTAACGTCGACCGCGCTTCTCTACGCAACGAACGTACGCGTGCAGAATAAAATATTATGCAAGTCTTTACGCAAGCTGTGTCCATGCGTTCTCGCCGCTCGTCGGCGTTTTGATTGATTGAAATTAACAACGAATATCTAGCATGTTAAAATTTTCCCAGCACGTTAAAATTTCATCGGGCCGCGTTCCACGGCTCTTTCCGTGACCGAAATCTATAGTGCACAGATTTATAGATTTATATACGAGCATTTAATTAATTATTAAATTGATGAATTTGTAATCGCGACACCGCAAATATCGTTCCCGCGATCAGATGCCACGCAATTATTAATACACATGGTAGACTATTGTAACGGTCGTAAATTTTATATACGATAGACTATATCTCTCTTTTCCCCAAAGGGAAGGATATTGTAATGATGGCAGTATCATTAAAAGATAACAAATGATTAACAAATATCGATGATTATACTCCTTATCCGCCCGGGAGCGGTCCGGATCTCTCGCGCGGCGAAATCTCGCCGAATCCGGAAGACCTTGGGCGTACGGGATCGCAGCCACAATTCTAGATCACAATAAGCCGAATAGAGAGAACCCGTTCTCTCCCGCAGAAGGGGGGCTCGGTCCTATAAAAAAGTGCCGTAGAACGGATCTCGGTATCATACCCAGTCGAGTGACAAACTCGCGAGAGAGTCGAGCAACACTCCAGCCCTTCAGCAACTTCCGAAAACCTCGCCATGTTCTTCAAGTGTGCCGTTCTCGCCCTCCTCGTGGCCTGCGTCACCGCGGCGCCCGCACCCGGCTACCTGGCGTCCGCTCCCGCGGTCGCCGCCGCACCCGTGGTCGCCGCCGCGTACTCGGCGCATCCCGCGCCCATCGTCCACGCGGCCGCCCCGGTCGCCTACACCGCGCACGCAGCCCCGCTTGCCTACGCTCATGCGGCCGCCCCGTACGCGTACGCCACGCACGGCGCCCACCTCGCCTACGCTGCACCTGCCATCAGCTACATTCATTAAGACGGACGAGGGGGATACTTCCTTGGGGGAAGGACGACGGGGGCTGATTTTCCACGGGATCGGATTAACATTACATTGAATGACAACGTCGTTTCTTCTTCTATCTGAGAAGGAAATTATATGTATTTTTTATTATGTCTAACACACATGCAGAGATAACAATAAATTGATATATTTTGCTCAAGTGTCGTTTGTTTATTATAGTGCGTATCTGACGATTTGTCATGATGACAGCGTATATTTGCGTTGACAGCGTTGACGTTCGAAGGGAAATTCATATCTCTTGCCGAGCGGAAAGTAATTTAAACCTCAAAGGGATTTTTCAACAATCGCCTGCGTCGAAACGCTTGAATTACACGCAAAACCAAATGCGCTCGTAAATAAGTTAGGAAGCCTCTCGGTCGTTTTACATAAATTATTTTTAATATCGTACTTTTGGCCACACCGATCTGAAGATTTTCAAAAGATTTCCGAACGTCGCATTAAATGGCAAAAAAATCAATATTCTTCTAAATATCCGATCGCGATATAAAATGCATAAAGCACTCGCTCGATCTTAAATATAAATCCGCAAAAAAAGAGAAAAATGTTGCCGCGAGATATTTAATACATCAGTGTAAGTACAACACATCTTAATAGAAACACTTTGTGGAAATGTGTTTCTCTCTTGCGCAAAATTATTTTAAGAAAGAAAAATGGGTGTGCGAGCGCTCTTATCCTTCGTATCATGTTTCCAAATATACAACGCGGTCGAGTCCTTGATGAAAACCGAATTTAGCAAATAGACGCCCGTTTCTTAGACGTAAAAGACAGTTCGCCCGCATAGATCACGCGTATCGAGTCCGCGAGGTCGTCGAAGTCGCGTAGTAGAAAGTCGCGGCGACCTTCCCGAGCGATTCGCATAACTCTCCTACGCAACAACGCCCGCCATTCATTATAGGGACGTCACCTGTGCTTCGCGATTCCGAAATAAACAACCTGGCCCCATAACACTTTATCGTTACGCAACACTGGCAGCGCGCGCTCTTATTACAAGCTGTGTACAGATTCGTGGCACGACGTGGTAATTGACAGACAGTACGTCTATATCGCGCGATAGGATTGATACGAGAGGCCACGAGAGACGTTACGACGTTGCGTTTATATTCGTTTTACAATGGGATACGTACGGGGCGTTAATTACTACGCATCCGTGCGATGCCGATGGAAAGATTGCGTTTGACATCACAATAGAGCGGGGCTACGGTCTTTCAACAAATCCACGATAGCGCGCATCTTGAAACGTGTGTTCGAAATGTCAAATGGAAAAAAAAACTCACGCGATATTTCAGTTGTTTATTCATTACGATGCGAAGACCTTTTATTTCGTTACGTAATTCCGCATTGCGAGAAGAGTCGGCAAGGACGACGTCTTGGACTTGATCTCGAAACGTCGCACCTTTTTTTTATGCACTTTTTTAATTATCCTTTTTTGATACCGGTTACGAGAATAATATTTCGTCCGATTCTGCATATTTGCGGCCGTCCGTTTAATTAAGATTGATTACCATCGCGATAGGTAAGGAAGTCCCACGACTTCCGACCGACTTCATCATCGCCGACTCCGGAAAATGGAGCGCGCGCGCGTTCGCTCTTTTCCACGATCGCCATGGGAAATCCATTTTCGTTTTCCGGAGCGTTTTCACCTTGGAGGACGACGACGTCGTTCACATTCGTTTGTACTTCTCGTCGCACAAATCTTCCTCGGCCCCTCGCCAATGCACGAAAACGAGTCGTGCATGGGTATGGGCGAAGCGAGGCGACGACCCTGCTCCAATAAATCTGGAGCACGATCGCGTGCAACGATAAGTGAGAACGTAAATAAATGAATGAGCGACTGTCCGCAGCCCAGACCCATGACGTCGTAATATTTCACCAATTTCGCCACCGCACTCTCAGGCATGACGAAGAATAAACGAGAAGCGCAGGCAGACGCACGGCGATTAATATACAGATTGCGCACGCAACCGCCGAATGCCTCTTTTTTTTTGCCGCAAATTCTCCGAGCAATTTGAAGTCCATTTTTCCCATCACGAGAACGCTAAAGTACTAACCAGTTTTCGAATAATCGACGCGTGAAAAAAAAACGCTTATTCTCACAAATTAAACTGCGAAAGGGCCAACGGCCAGCAAAATCGCGTTCCTCGATTAATTTCGAGTGGATCTCGCTCTGATGGAATTTTAATTTGAGATTCGATTATAAAAGTGCGTAATATTAAAAAAAAAAACTTGTTTCTATCAAAACTGCACACAAAGAGACGGTGGTGATTGACAGGACGTTCGCTGATTCTGGGACGCTCTGTATTCGGGACGTCGCCGTGCAAATTAAATTCGTGTGAAACGAGAACGCATAATTCACCGAGTATCTCCTTTATCGATCTACCTTGGACAGAGATGTTGACTTTAAAGAAGCCGAATCGCTTTGCAAACAGTTTGCGCGCGTACCTTGTCACGTACATCAATTTAATCGCCCGGACTCGCTTTCATTAAAGCGAGGAACACTTATCTTTGACACGTCGAAATCAATAACGTCCTTTGTGTCTAAATAAATTAAATTGAGCTCAATCTTATTTGAATCAGGTGTCTGATTCAGCTTATAAGGTCGCCGATTTGGAGTTCCGAAGGGATTTGTTTCTATCGTTCATTGTTCATTATTTATGATCAGCTTGAAGGAAGAGTTATAAATTTAGATAATTTAAAGGAAACTTTTAGTCATCCGCCTTACCCAAGTAGAACGAAGGCGCTTATCGTAACGCGCCATCAAATATTGAAATGATAAGACGCGAAACTTAAAACGGGACGGACGCGTGTTACGTAAAGCGCGTGTTATTATATAAAATCGAGAAATTGAAGTTACGCCAAAGTAAAAGGACCAAAACGACCTACGGGATAAACAAAGTTCGCGGCGTGCCTCGCCTTAACCTTGATCTACTCTTAAGCCTCTTCCTCGCACTCGTATACACGAGCTCTGCTCCAACATCTCCTTCTCACATTGCGCAACGCTCTTACGCTCCGCTGGATACACGGATGGATGGATGGATGGATGGATAGATAGATGGTCTAAGACTGAATGTATGAAAACCTCTAACGATTGCGTTCCCGGTCAAAAGTGACGGACCTTCGCAGACGTAAGATCGCGATACGAACCAGTGTGTCTGGAGATGTCGATGAAACGAGATGTTAACTCGAGATACGATCAGATAATCTCTAATGCCAAGGAAAATTAATATGTACGCGTAATATCAAAGAATAATCAGTCGGATGACATCTAAAAATTATTGCAAAATATTAAAATTTTTTTTTATACGTTTTCTCTAACATCTGAGGGATTGGAATGCCTTTGCCGTTGTCTTCAGACATGTTACAAGGATTAAAATCGCCGTTACAAGAAATAAACGCAAAGTAAAAGATAAAAATGTGTATTATAAACATCATGTACATAGCCGATGACAATGTTTGTGGCAGTAAGGCAGGCCATATCGCCAGCCATTTACAATCAAACTTGTCGAAGGGGACGTTTATTCGTCGAAACTTCGGCCCGATTCGATAGTCCCATTCAATGATAGTATCCACCATATCCGCCATATCCATAGCCGTGACCATAGCCGAGTCCGTAGCCATATCCGAGACCATATCCAAGATTGTGGCCATATCCAAGACCGCTATGAAGATAGGTAACCGATGGTGGAATCGTATATCCATAATGTCCGTAGCTCACTGCTGGAGCTGAGTAAGGGGCGTAAGCTACCTTTGTGACGGCAGGTGCGGCGTATGCCACTTTTGTGATGGCAGGTGCGACGGCGAGCTTAGTGACGGGTGGAGCCACCGCGACCTGAGGACAGAAAGGAGAGAGAGAG